AAACCTTTCCTCGTTGATACAAGAATCAGTACATTAGAAGCCGACGAGATAGGACAATGGGACCAATACTGGTCCCTAGACTCTGCTGGTATTGAAGAGTGCAATTATTGGAGCAAGATGCAGTGATAAAATGCAAGTGAACGCAAAAGTGTGGCGATTCTTCAGTGAAAGGATAAAAAAAAAAGAAGACGTGTGTTATGTCCCCCTTCCCTTCGAGGAAAACAAGGAATCATTATCTTCGAATGAAACGATCGCATATCGTCGCCCGCTTAGTGTTTTAAACACCTTGGAGGCTAACCCCGATATCCCTTAACAATACGATGGGATTTTCCAGGAACAATTTCAACAGGAATAATCGAGAAGGTGAGTAATCCAGAGAAGGAAGATTCTAAAATGGTACATTACCTTCCTCATCAACCTCTTATAACACCTTCGAAAGAAACCACAAAATTGGAGATAGTATACGATGAGTCATCCCATCTTGAAGGGTGCTCATCGCTGAATAACCTGCTGTATCAGAGACCTCTGATTCTGCCTGAGTTATTCGGAATGCTACTGAGGTTCCGGATGCAGCTATATGTTGCAATCTCTGACGTAGAAAAGGCTTTTCTGTAGGTGCGACTAAACGAATGCGACAGAGACATACCAGGTGGCTGTGGATAGAAGATTCAGCTGTGGGTCCTGAACTCGCCAATATCGTTACATACCGATTCACCAGGGTCACATTCGGTTTGAATGTCTCTCCATTCTTACTAGCCGCTACATTCAGTACCATATTGGAAAGGAAGTGGAGGACCCCGTTCTGGCCAACAAGATTGGCGAGAATCTATAAGTGGACAACCTCTTTCTCACTGGCGTTAGCACTGATGAGATTTCAAACAAATCTCTTACGGCGAGAGGAATTATCTAGCAGATGAACTAAATCTGCGTGAATTTCTAACGTACGATTTGAACGTGCAGGAGCGGTTTCCAACCGAACTATGTTCAAAGATAACGAAACAAAAAGTTATAGAACTCACATGGGGTTCGAGACAGGACACTCTTGCAATACACTGCAACATTCCAGACTTTCCGAAGGCTGCAAAGCTAGTTGTTGCCAGAAGCTGTGGTTGGAGCGTAACACCAAGAGCTGTCCCAAACCATGAGGAATAGTGGCCGAAAATGCGAGAAAATTCCAACGGTCGTTAGAAAATTCTTCGTCGGAAAATCCCGGCAGGAAAACACCTCAATGTAGCAATTTTTGTTGATGCGAGTGAAAATGCAATGGCAGCACGTGCTTCGGCAATGGAAAATTCTCACTGCTGATGGCAAAATCAAAACTGCCGTCCATAAAGTCAAAAATGACAATACCAAAGTGAGAAATGAATGCCGTAACAATGGCTACAAAACTGGCACGATCTGTTGGCAAAGCATTGAACCAGTCTACTAGACCCAACAAAAACGTTTTAATTTTCACGGGTACTCAAATTGTACGCAGCTGACTAGAAAGACCACCCGGAGTATCCGATCCAGGAGTTTTGGTTCGCAACCGAATGCGAGAGATACAAGAAATAATAATTGCCCTGGGCGAAATGAGAACAACTGTACATTATGGATACGTACCAGCAACAATCAATCCTGCCAACGCCGGCAGCAGAGGGCTCTCGAAAGACCAAGCAGAAACAGGCAGGTGGTGGTACGGACCAGAATTTTTTACTGGAACCTGCTCCCACTTGTGGGAGGACCACTGCATACTGGCGCAATCCTAGCTGTTACAGTTGGAAGTGAGGACTTCTAACAGTTTCCTTTGCATCGTTACAGCACCCTCCGTAAAGGAACCTTATCAATGCATGGGTCCTCAGATTCCTGAAGAAATCAATGAGAAAACTGTGTATCGAGTCAATTACAACGATAAATAAAATAAAACTGGGAATAAAACTCGTCGACCAAAATACTGCGCCACTCAATGGCCTGGAAATCCGCAGTGCAAAAAAGGTACTGATAAAAAAAATCATCAACAATCAGTACTCTTGCCGAGTTACTTAAAATTCGTGGAGAAAACACTAGAACTGTCCAAAGACTCTGAAGGAGTCTGGCGCATTTGCGGGAGACTTGGTAAATCATCTCCGGAAGTGCCATATTTCCCCATCTTCATCGCTTCAACTGAAATAGCTTTTCTTATTATTGGATAGCTCACAGGTTCTATCATCGAGGAGTCGCCCACACAATGGCAACTGTCGCGAACACTACTGGATACCAAAATTATGCTAAAAAGTTAGAGGCTTTTACAACGATTTCTGAAATGCAAGAGATTTAACGGCCTTTCGTGCCGTTACCTAGAAATGCTTGATGTTCCGGCCCAGAGAGTCCAAAAATCTCGGCCTTTTAAGCACATCGGACTTCACGAATTCAGCAGATGCTACAGTTGCATTTTTACTTGCGCACTGACACGCTTGGTGATAACGCTCCAACTTTCCTCTTAAACGCTGACATCTTTCAAAATGCGATAGAACAAGATACATTGTCTGGCTTTCTGCGTAACCGTGCGATTGAAAAAAAAACCATAACCCCGTATGCTTTTTGTCAGGAAGGTTTTTATAAGAGGTTGAAAAATCATAAAACATGCTCTTCATAAGGCGATCGGGCAACTGTCTTTCGACAATCTTGCAACAATCATTTCCGATATCGAAGCAACAGTGAATACACGACCACTCACCTGCCAAGAAGCTAAATACGGAGAGTTTGATTACATAAGACCAATAGATTTTACTCAAAGCTCTTCTAATTCAACTTTTGCGCTCGAAAGTATCATATCTGTTAGTCAAGATCCAGATTGTCATCCAAAGAAACTTGTATCTTTGAAAAGTCGGTCTCAAGCCATAGAAGCCTTACAACCATCTATCAAATTCACCGAGAAGTTCTGGAAGCTTTGGCGAGATCACTATTCGACCAGCTTGCGAGAGCAATCGAACGCGAATAGCTCAAGCTCGATATTCTTTGGTAAAAGCTGAGAAAGGTTCACTGGTTCTCGTCACCAATCCTCTTTTAGCCTGTAACAAGGTGAGATGGTATTACGGATATGGAAACCAACTCTCAAGGAGAAGTGAAAGAGCTTGAACCTGTGACCGCAAGAAAGCGAAAATCTAGAGGACCTGTTAATTTGGTTGTCTCATTAGAACTAAAAAGCGAAGATTCACCTCCAGAAGAAGTCGACCTATGCAACGCGGAGGGTCGTTATCATCTGCAACCTCGCAAAAATTGTAGGTGTGATTAATTAACGATTTCTCTACGCTTCAATAGTGCGACAATCCGAAATGCTGAACCATTAACCTCCGATCTCCTTGCCTCCAAACACAAAAAACGTACCCAAAGCACATATTGCAAACAATTGCTCTGTCCAGTATTCCTTTACCAGTATACAGCCTATTTCATGAAACTTTTCAGTAGTAGCTCTTTCAGCAAGGAAACTTTTCAGCCCATAACTGTCAATTCGACAACATTTCTGTTTAGCTCTTTTGTCTTGCGAATACTTGCAAATGCGAAAAAAAAATGACGAAAAAAAAGAAACGCGAAAAAAAGTTGCGATTCTAGCGAAATGCCTTCAGGTCGTGAGTTTTCCTTCTCACAATTTTGGCAATATGCCCTCAGGCATGAGTTCTCTTTTACCTTTGCAAAAAAGTTCATTCTCGACATATTTGTATCCGAAATTGCCTAAACCATGAAAAACTACCGGAAAATACGAATTCACGTTGCAAGAGAAATGTTGCTCGTGCAACAAAATTTCACTGTACACAAAAATGTCGCTCGTGCAGCAAAAATGGTGCTTACGCAATATAAAAAAACCGACAAAAGAAAGCAATATCGCGTACTATACAAAGGACTGGTCTGCGGAGGGTTTCAGTTGTTTTTGTACAATTCTTGCGAAAGATTTTACTCATTACTCTCTATCGTGTTTCTGCGATTTTAGCGAATTCCTTCACCTCCATTCTCTTTGTAGCAGTGGATACGAGCGAAAGCACGAGCGAACCCGCGTCGAGAAAAGAGTCCATTTTGCGAGACCAGGCGAACGCTAGAAACGCAATCCTTCAAACATCTCATATTTGCGACAATAAGTACGACTGAATCTTTTTCAATATTCGCAATTTATGCGAAACAATCTCCTTGTACTTATAACCTTCATTGAATCAGTTATAACCTTCATCTGCATGGAAAGAAGAAAAAAAGATTAGTTAAAGTTATTCGCAAGGAAAGCAAAAAAAGAGAGTTGCAACGTTCATCTGCAAAAAAAAGAGAGAGGGGATCTGCAAAAAAGGCATAGTCAAAAAAGAACGAAAAGCACAAAGCGGCAGAAATCGTTTTTTCCAGAAAATGCAAATGTTCATGACGAACTACGACGGTGAAAGCAGAGCAGCAGGTCTGTCTCAAATCGACTCTTCCAAAGTTTCCACCACTTGATAAGATTCACAGTGACAAGTTCACATTGCCAAGACGTCATGCATGCCGTGGATCTTCTTCATGACGTACGAAACGATCTCGATTTTTTTCTTGCAAATGATTAACCTTGGAATGCTCTCAGAGGAGAATTTCTGTAGAATGTAGAGCTAAGCATTCAGAATCATGTCTTGCGACTGCAATATCTCCGCAAATGTCTGCGATTGTTGTTCTCATGCTTACCTATTATCACTGCATAGAGATCCGCCTTTGCCACTGAATGGGAGCAAAAAATGAATTCAGCAGCACTATAGGAAGCAGAACGGAAGGAGATCCGATGCCGCAGCAGGCTCCAGATGAGGCGTCGAATATGGAGGTGGACGACGGAGATTCTTTACTTCGGAACGTGCAAAAACATGCAATAGTAACACTTCGAAGATGGCCAACTAAGATGTCACCTGGTAACGAGTAGGGCAGAAATCCGGCCGACAGTTAGAAATTCATAGAAGTTCTTAAGGGGTATTTTCTATATAAATCAGTAATTTTGTTTGAATTCGTTTTGCATAACCTTTACTTAGATATTCATTCTATCAAAAGATGTAAATTCTGTTACCAAGTGGAGGCCTGAAACTGACATCTGATAATAAACGAGATTTCAAAAGCTATTCATCTGCAAGCAAATAATGAAAGCGCATAAGAATTCCGCATGAAACCTTCTTTAGAAAAGTCCATCACTTTCCGCTGGTAAATATCACCCGAAAGATGACAAAGGTCTAACTCATCTAACTACTGCACAATATCCTGTTTTAAGGTGACTTGAAATCCATTCTTAGAACGTTTACACTTGCCGTTTGTCATTTTGAGAAATGTAATATGCACTTGATTTCGTCGCAATCAGTATTAAGAGGGTCAAGAGGCATGGAGTAAGCCCACGCACGGCGTATTCACCACTGGTTCTTTTTCCCTGAATCGATCACTAGCCGATCACTAATGGGAGAAAGGGCAGCCAAAGGCAAGTTCTTCCTGCCTCTCATGACACCGCCCCGACCATCAACTGTAGAAAGATTGTGCCTCTTTAATGGAGCTCCCAGTGGAATTAATTTTCTGAGAAGAAAAACGGCATCAAGACCGGCACCCTTTCAAGAACACCACCATTTATTCTTACTTTCACATAAGACAGTAGCTCATCCACCTTAAAATAGCTTCAGTTCAAATTATGTCCCCTGGTTATAACTACAGCAGGACTCGCTCGCTAACGAGTCTCAGGTACTCTGACGAGACAAAGCTTACGAAAATAGGATTTTCTGAAATTTCGACGAGTCCACTGCACAGCTTCGCAGCGGGAAAAGTGATTTGAAGCCAAAAAGACGAGGAAGGAACGGATCTGCGTCATTTCCATCTTTTTTCCGGAAGCTGGAGTGGTTGTTGTAGTAAGCTCAAGAGGTCCATGTTGTCCACGTGCACTGGCGAGCTATTGAGCTCACTAGCGATTTTTAAGCAGTAGTGAATGCTGATATTTTGTTATCTCGCCTGCTTCATTTTCGTCACCTTTTCGGAGTGATGTGAAAAAATTGTCCTTCTCTGGTTTATTGCGATCCGTGTACCCACTTATATGAGTTGTAGAGAGCGTTCTACAGCAATTCTCCGAATCACCAAATAGATTGCAAATCATCAGAAACTGTTCTCAGACTTACTCGAACAAACCCTTGCGATCTGCCAAAATAAGATGAGCATTGCTCATTCGGCCAATGGAGTCTTGACGAAGATATTTCAGGAAGAAATCCACCATATCTTCTGTCTGAGCCATGAAAATTATATTTTCTAACAAAGCCAAGATGATGGTGCTTGACCACAACCGTTGGAACAGTATCAAAGTCATCTGGGGAGCTTCGCGGAAATGTCATTGCTTCTTCGTTGTGATCAAAATAAATATCTGGATCGAATATGACAGAGTATTCATCACCATCCAAATCACTCCCTCAATATAACAATAAATTAGGCCGAATAAGCAAACGTAAAAATAGTGACTTCTATTGATTTACCAGCCATCTCGTCAGGGTGAGGGCGGGGACCGTGTTTTGGGAAGACAACAACGTCAAACAAATGAGCTAATGCGGGCTGATATACTGATGCAAACATCCTGACATCACCGGCTACATGACATGGATTTTTGGTGATCATGACCGGGCCTGAAGCGAATACTTATCGTACCTGCCTAGGAAAAGTGTCACGCAAGCATACCCGTGTATATCCTCAGCTTCCCGTCCGGTTTTTTGACCGATGTAGAATATTGAATGAACACTTGTCCGTACTGTAGAAGGCCTGTTTCGTCAAAAACACCATACATGGAACGACCCACACATTGCGGTAGAAAGATTTTTGCCTTGAAGTTACGTGGTTTACAACCGAAGGTTGAGTTCTGGCAAGTGGGGCTGTTCAATTAGGTTGGAAAGAAAGTCTTACAACACATCGATCAAACTGTTCCAAAAAAAGACCAAAAAAACATGTTGAATGTTTGCACCACTGATTAGAGAAGAGTGTCCTCTGAGATTTCTGCAGATGGATATATACGATTTTCACATCAAATCGGACACTTTTCAAACCAAATCGGACACTTTTTGAATCAAATCAGACACATCCTTTACAATTGGATGGTTGATAACTAGACCACTCAATTGTAAAGGGTGTGTCTGATTACACCCTGCTGTTGCAAGCGCCGCCCCATTATCCCCGCCCACTTCTCAGCGCGGACAGGGTTTTCCGAGATGCTTCATGAAA